CTAACCAATGACTGGTCTAATTTGTGGCTCCCATCGTGAGAGGGAAACTATGTTTGACACTGTCTGGATGTGCAGGAACCAGAGGAAGGACATCCCAGAGATCTAGGGTAGAACCAAACACAACTGGCAAAAAAGAAATCAATGAAATGATTCCTAATGATGTTCTGTCATACTCATAGATTGGTGCCTAGTCCAGTCATCACCAGAGAGGATGCCTTTGGCAGCTGATGGGATCACATACAGAGACCCACAGCTAAACATCAGGTAGAGAGAGAGCCCTGGTTGGAAGTCGCCATCAGGTCCCTCCCCTCAAAACTCAGGGAGCCCCACTGAAGTTAGGGAAGAGGGAATTGTGGGGGCGTACCAGGAGAGCACAGGGCTCACAGAGACTGAGGCAGCAATCATGGAGCCTGCATGGGTCTGTGCTAGGTCCTCTGCATATATGTTATGGTTGTTGGCTTGGTTTTAGGAGTGAGGGTGTCTCTGGTTCTCTTGCTTGTTTTTGGAACCTTTTTCCTCCTATTGAATTGCCACACCCAGCCTTGATTTGAGGGTTTGTGTCTGGCCTAATTGTATCTGATGCGGTGTTTGATTGATATCCTTGGGAGGCCTGCTCTTTTCTGTGGGGGGGTGGGGGAAAGTGGACCTGGGGGCAGAGGGGATGTGGGGGGAACTTGCAGAAGCAGAGGGAGGGTAAGCTTCAGAATGAAAAAAAAAGTGGGTTCTTACTTTCTCCCATGTAAGTTCTAAGGACTGAACTAAGGCCATCAGGTGTAGTGGTATGTGCCTCTACCCACAGAGACATCTCACCAGCTCTTGACTGGTGAGATGAGAGAGAGAGAGAGAGAGAGAGAGAGAGAGAGAGACAGACAGACAGACAGACAGACAGACAGACAGACAGAGACAGAGAGACAGACAGAGACAGACACAGAGACAGAGACAGAGACAGAGAGACAGAGAGAGATCAGTAGGTACCCATGGTCCATGGTGTGTGTGAACAGGAAGCAGGCTTGGACTTGGGTTCTCTCCTTTCACAGTGGGTTCTAGGGTCCAATGCAGGTCGTCAGGTGCATGCAACAAGAGCCTTTACATCCGGAGTGATCGCACACATCTTGATTTTTTTTAACTTCTATGATATCATAAGCAAATGACAGGTTTAAGTCACCTTTTTCCTCTTCTTTTTTTTATTTATGTGTTAGAAACAATCTTGTTTCACATGTCAATCTCAGCTCCCTCTCCATCCCTTCCTCCCCCTCCCACCCCATCAGGTCCCCCAGCCCCCCACCCAATCTCCAGTCTGATCTGCGACACTAGTTCAGGGAGGCTTGGAACTCACTTCATAGCCAAACCTGGTCTCCTGTCTCAGCAGGTTCAGTGCCTGAAGGTGGCAGCGAAATACAACATGCTCACTGATTGAGGACAGGAAGCTGTAACCAAAACACACTCATTTCAGCTCAACCCTTGTTAGCGGCCCAAAGAGTCGGATTAATGGCACTCATGAACAGAAGAGATCCTTCCAGACAAATTGTGAGGTGATGAATGAGGAGGGCAAAAAGCTCCTGATGACTGTGGTCAGTGGGCACTCTAGGGAAACCATTACCAAGACAGAAGCTTCAGTGGGGGATTCAGTGCATTTGGTGAACAGAGGACCTAGGGTCTCTTTGCAACACCAGATCAGCAGAAGGCACTCTGGTGCAAGTTCACAGGTATACAAGCAGGAGGGGAAGGATGAGGGGGGCTTGATGTCCAGTTGGACATGCTAGAGTGACCGGGACACAGCAGAGCCACCCCAAGGCACACAGAAGAAAATAGGATCTGGGAGTGTAAGGGGCCCCCTTCCAGGAAGAAGGCCCAGGCATCTCTCTTATTGGCCAAAGTCACAGTCTCAGTAGGGGCAGGAGTGCCACACATGCTCTGTCAAGAGGCATGCACATGGCTGGTTGTAAACCAGTGAGTGGTTGGCTTCAATCCCCCAGTGGGAACAGTCTCAGGCAGCTTTATGTGTGACTCAAGCCAGATGGCTTGAATGGCTTTTGACCCTTGAGGGCTCTGACATCTTAAGGAAGGTGGCAGTGTCCTCGTGTGGTCCACACCGTGGTTTGGTGTGGTTGTCAGTCAGTGGCATCACCACCACCTGGGGACTTGGCAGGCATGCCAACTGTTGTCTCTGGCCTCTCTTAGAGCAACTACGGGAAGGCAGCGTCCTGCTCTGAAGGCTCCCTTGGAGGTGCTGAGGGGAGAGCCAGTGTAGGACGCATCTCACCAGCCATGGGGGGTGTAAGTGCCACCAGGCCGTCCCAAAGATGGCCGCTTGTCCTCTGAGCGGCTTTAGTGGCCCTCCCTCCTCTTGCCTCTTTGCCCCAGCTCAGTAGAGCCAATAGGCAGAGGGCATTTTCAAAGCCGGGAGGGTCTAACGGTCCACTCATTCCCTTGACTTCCTTGGATGCTGTCCAGAGTGGCAGGTTCTGAGCTCACAGTGGCCCATCACCCTGACCTGCTGCCAATCCTCCCTACAGCCAGTACCTGTCAGGTACGAACCTCTGTGACCATGCAAAGAGTGACAAGACAGAAGCCACCCTGTGTCCACTCTAGAGACCAGAAACAACAAATGTTTCATACAGGGGCTTGGGGTCGTTAAGAAGACAGAGGGCCTTGCCTGAGGGGGAGGCTCAGCATCACCAGCCAGGGCACCCCATGCCTGGGGTGACTCTAAGAGTGGATACCATCTGGGCTTCTCCCCTGACCTCCTTATGGGGCAGGGAGAGGCATTTCACGTCCTAGCCAATAATCTTCACAGGGTGTGGTTCCCATCCCTATGGAGGCTGAGCACTGAAGGCAGTGACTGCTCTCACTATAATGGCTGCAAAGGCCCCCACCCAGTGTGGCCTGGACCATTCTTAGGAACTCGGCCTCCTTAGCTTCCTCCATGGGGCCTCGTTGTCATTCTGAAGTAAGACAGGTGTCTGCTTCAACTGTGAATGCAAGAAGCTGCTGGCATTGGACATACTGGACAGTTCTGTTTAACCTGGGTCGTGCTGGCATTGGACATTCTGTTCAACGTGGGTCATGCTAAGGCTGTCCTTGTTTGGTCATACCACCTAGGACAATTTGTTCTTGAATGCCAACCTGACAACTAGGAGAGAGGGGCTTCCAATCCTGCTTTCTTTGGGCCCACCTGGCTGGTGCCATGACAGCCATCACCACTGATGTTCAACTTGACCAAGCTTTGGTTTCTTTATCTGCAGAATGGGGACTATAGCACATCCCACTGGTGTCAATGTGGATAGCATATTGAAGGAGACATACAGGTCCTCAGTGGACATTCCAGAGGTGCTATGGGAGGTGGGGGGGCACTGCTGATGAGGGAAAGGGACAAATGCATGTAGACACCACATCTCTGCATCATAGGCTAAGGTTCACCCTTGTTCCCTGAACACTGGCCCCTGGGGGATTTGGGGGCATGTTGTGTTTTTTAGGTGGCCACTCTGAGCTTAGGGAGAGAATATTCTTGCTCAGGGTGAGGAGGATATGCTGGCTTCAGCTATGCCAAGTTCAGGGCCTGGTGTGGGATCCCAGTATGTTTGTACTGACCCAGGACTGAGGATGACATTCTGTAGGTATGCCTTTTCCTCTCTCTAGGGAACTCAGAATGACAAACTCTGAATAGGGACCTGTCCCTGAGGATAAATAGGAAAAAATGTCCTGAGCATCGATCTGATGGGCACCTCACTACCGATTCCATCGTTGGCCCCAGCCTTGGCAGCCACTGGACCAAACTTGGCCTACTATGTGTTTCATGTCCTCTAATCCCATCCTGTCACCAAGGCTGTTGTGATCAAGGAAGTCACATTTGGGGTTGTCCATTCACTTTACAGCTCTGACTGGGGCCAGTGAGCCATGCTCTCCCGGACTACCTCTACACTGGGGCTGTACAAATGTTCCCCACTTGTCACCTCTGTCCTTAACTCCCTGAGGATTAAGGGAGCCTACAGAAGCAGATGCCCAGGGCCACAGTATCCCTTTATACATGATCACATCCCTCAGTGCCTCTTCAGGAAGAACATGGTTTGGGCCCTACACCCTTTCCTCCTCAACCCTCCCTCTGTATGAGTCTTGTAGAATCTATCTATAATCCTGGAGACCAAAGTCAGTCTTGGGATATTTGCAAGAATCTGGGAAGGTAGAGGGTAGCTAAGATTTTCTCTTGGTCCTAGCGTAGTCTGGGATTGTTGGGAGTGTCTTTTTATACTGAGTTTGTACAGACAACCTAGGGCCCTTCAGGCAGATAAACCAGCCTGGGCTCCACATAGCCCCTGGAGAATCCCAGAGTGGAGGAGGCTGACCCCGTGAGAGCCTGATGTTCCCTCTGTTGATGCAACTATGTCCTGGACTTAGAATGGAATTTCAGACCTATGCTGGTGACAGCCACCAGTGGCTCCTGGTCCCCCCAGGTATGACTAGGAGTTCATCTTCTCCCTACTGGCCCAGCTCCTCAGCAGGGTCTGGTGCACTGCAGTAAGAACTGGGTCAGGTAGAAAGCAAGTGGTGAGTGCTTTTGGTCAACACTGGTTCATGTGGGAGCTGAGGTTTGTTATTGTGGAGAGATGAGCAGGACTGTAGAGGAGCCAAAGAGAAGCAGAAGCTGGTTTGGAGTCCTGGTGTACAAAGCTGCCCAAAGCAAAAATCACTGGAGAGGGACCCTATGGTTGTCTCTGAGTTGATACCTACTCCCAACTTCTAATTTTTCTAGGGTTTTCTTTCTGTCTCTTTTAACACATGGGGAATTCTTCCTGAATAGTCTCCGTTTCATTCAGTGACTAAAGAGAAAAGCAAAGGAGAGAACGGTGTCTTCTCTGGAACAGTGGAGAAGGAAGCAGAGAACATAGTGGAAGGGGCACGGTGTGGGTGAGGAGGTACTGGGAAATGGGGTGTAGGCAGGGTTCCCCTTCCTCACAGCCTCCTCTCCTCGGCAGCTCTGACTTACCAGTCGAGGCGTGGTCCACTGGTGAAGACTTTTAATTCACTAACATTTTAAACCCAGCATTCTGGGAGTCAAGACTGGGAACAGGACGTAGTTCTGGGGGCTGGGCCTTGTGATCATCATGTGACTCTCAGATGCCACACACCCTGCTGTAACCAACCTGCCTCCTTAGTGCTGTGTCCTGGTGGCTCCAACAGCCTGGCCTGAAGCTGCCCCATCTTAGACCGCTCCTGTCCTAGGTCCTACGGGAAGGTCATGGCTAGAGCTAACTAGCTAGCCCTGTCTGCCCAAAGCGGTGCTTTTCTCTGCCGAGAGCCGGCTGGGACCCCATGCCAGTGGGAATCGCACACCAAGCCCTCCAGGAGTCTTGGAAGGACCCATCTGCCAGCCTTTGTCCCAGGTGTAGGCACTGAGATGGGACAGAGGAGCCGAGCCCTGGCCCTCCGCTAGTCCAAAGTGCTCCACGGCCGGCAAAAGCTCCGGCTGCCTCTTCTCAGGACCAGTCCTTGCCAAGGATTCTGGCAGAAACGAGTGCTTATAAATGGAGGAGCGAGCTGAGGACCCTGCCCAGGTGGGGCGCACAGGAGCCCCAATCACAGGCACGTGGTGAGCTCTGCATAGGGTCGGGGGAGTCCGTGATCCAGCTGCTGCCTTTACAGGCCTTCTTCAGGATGTGGGGATGTGGGCCCTTGTGTGGGGCAGTCAGCAGGCTACAGGGGCATCCTTTAATAAAAGTGTTGCTGCTGGAGCCTTCGGTGCAAGCAGCAGGTGAGAACCATCCCGCAGATCTGCCAGATGGAGAGAACAGAGAGTGAAGAGACATAAGAACCCCGTAGGCTGCCGGCTGAATGCTGGGAGGCTGTTGCTCACACTGCAGAGGGCTGGGGAGCCACACCCTTCCGTCCCTGCACATCTGGAAGGGCCTGCTTTTTTCACAGGATCCCAGGACATGCTCATGTGGCCTGAGCGCTGGGGAAGCTATGAGAAGGGCTCCCCAAAGGGTGTGGCTTCTGTGCTCAAATCATGAGAACCTGCTTACACAACACATTTCAATCCTGTGGGTCTGGGTTGGGGCCCAGTGGCTGCTACCCTTCCCAGAACCCACCCAGCCTGGCTACTGGCCTGTGGGCCTAGAGGTTCTCTATAGACAGCTCTGCTTATGTGGCTCTTCTGTGAGGACTCTGCTGCTCACACGGGAGCTGCCTGAAGCATCTCTGTTTCCTGCTTCCTGCTACCCCAGGGCTCCAGAACCAAACCAAAGCCACCACAATTCCAGGAGGAGCACTCAGTGTTCCTATGAGTTCAGCACGGGGACTCTGGCCTTGTGCCTTCCAGTACCCCTCCTGGATCCACAGCTGAACAAAGAAGGAACAAAGACACAGGAGATCCCACCTGCCCAGTTTCCTAGCCGGTTCTATTCCTCTGTAGACCAGGCTGGACTCGAACTCACAGAGATCGGCCTGCCTCTGCCTCCCATCTGCTGGGATTAAAGGCATTCACCACCAACGACCTGCAACAGTTCTATTCCTAAGCTACAGAGGAGCTGTATTCTCCAGCCCACGCTCTTTGCTCCCCCTTTCTCCTTCCCATCCAGGGATACCTTGAGGACAAGGAGACAGGGTTGTGACAGAACAAGGTGCCCCATTGCTGTCATCCTGGTCCTGATGGCGACAGTGCCGTTGCTTGGTCTCCACTCTGTGTGTAGGACAGGAGCCCTGTGTAGCAGTCCCACAACCGTCACACAGCACAGGGATGAAGGTGAGTGCCTCTATGTGAGCCCTGTCTTTCCCTGGCTTATTCTACAGGCCTGGCCTTGGCTGTGCGGGCCTGGGTGGCAGAGCAGGACTAGACCCATGAAGATGAGCATAGCTTGAGGCAGCTGCCTGTCCTTGTCAGGCTATCTTCTGGTCATCAAGGACGAAGAGGATGGAGACAAGATCCTCTGAATGGATGGGGAACACGGCGAGGGGGGGGGTAGTGGGACCTGGGAAGAATAGAGGGGGTAAAGAGGAAGGGAGTTGGTCATGGGGGAACAGGAAGTTGAGGGGGTGGGGGTAGAATAGGGGGAAGAGGGAATCATAGGATCGAAGACAGATCAGGCACCAGAGTGACCTCGAGTGATCTAAAGGTATAACATCAATTGGCAAGCTAAGCAATAGTGGAGGGACCACCTTGAATGCCCATTCCTGATAATGAACTTGATGTCTATAACCATCCGGGAGCCTTCATCCTGTGACTGATGGAAGCAGAGGCAAACACACAACTAATCACTGAACTGAACCCAAGGAACCCAGTGACAGAGAGAGAGGAGTGATGAGCAAATTGGCAAAGAATGGGCTGGCAAAACCAGCAGAGACAGCTGATCTGAACAGGGGAGTGCTCTTGGACCCCAGACTGACAGTGGGGAGGCCAGAATGGGACTGATCTGGACCCCCCAAATGTGAGTGTCAGTGAGAAGGCCTGGGCAACCTATGGGGCCCTGAGCTGTGGATCAGTGTCTATCCCTGGTATACAAACTGTCTTCGTGTGCCTATAGGACAAAGAGAGATGCTCTCTCAGCCTGGACTCTTAGGGGAGTGCCTTGACCCTACCAAGAGTAAAATGATAGACTCTAGATATCCCCTATGTGGAAGGATTTGGCAATAGGGTGGGAGGGAGGGTGGAAGGGGAGTGCGGGAGGAGGGGAGGGAGAGGGAACTGGGATTGACATATAAAACAAGCTATTTAAAATTAAAATAAAAATGATAATATATAAAAAAAGGATGGTTTATGTCTTCACCTTTCTCACCATTCCCCTGCCCCAGGTCCAGCCGGGTGAATAGCTGAGGCTACCCGCTGCTTTCAGTTTTAGCCTCAGTGCTAAGAGCCTTGCTAATCCACCTTGGGGACTCAGGCTCAGAAGCTCACAGGCGGCTTAGAGGTTATCTCACCTCCATTGGCTTTAAGTAGGCACAGTCACAGCAAATCCACAGACATGCACTCAGGGGTTGTGGCATGCTCCTCTCTCCATCTCGTTGCTGGATGCTTTTCTCATGGCTTATCAGGGCTTTTCTGATGCACACAAAGGTGCAGGTGGGAGGAGCCTCTTGGACTGGTCTATGTGTGCTGGAGGCTGTTTCCACCTCTCCTCAGCATACAATTCACTCTAGATGGTCTTGCAGGAGTCGAACTCCCTGACATGCATTATATATTTGAGATGGGTGCCTTTAATTGTCATAGCAAGTGCATGGGGTAGGCACTCTCATCAGTCCATGCAAAACATAGATGCATGTGATACATGCTTCACCCTGAACTCTGTGAAAGGATGCGCTCATTAATGTGTGCACAGGTCCACATATGCATGCATACATGCACATGTTCCTCATCCTGAATTGCATGGTTTGATAACACACACACACACACACACGCACGCATGCACGCACGCACGCATGCACGCACGCACGCACGCATGCACGCACGCACGCATGCACATCCACCCTGAAGTGTGCAGAGAGTAATGGACAGCATCCCACTAGGTTCCAAGTGAGTACCAGTGCCTCCCCTTTGGCAGAGGACACAGAGAAGCCAGCATGGATGATCCAAGCGGCCAGCACACTTACATGAAACAACAGAGACCTTCCTGGAGACAGTAGAACATAGCTGAGGGTAACCTATCTCTTGGGTTTGACTCCTGTCACCAACTCCCCTTGCACAGGCCACAGGGATCCCTGGAGGAGCTGCTGGGTACAGACTTGACCACACATGTGCATTTTTAACAGGGAGGCTCTGATGCTCTTGGTTTCTTACAAAGCTTCTCAGCAAGCACCCAGTGGTCTTTGGACCGCACAAAAGAAAGCCTGGTGTGGCCCAGGTGACCTTTCCGTTCACCTTTTAATAGCCTGCAGATCCCAGGCTCACCTGTTTTCCAGGCTCTAAAACACATTGGCATTCTACTCGCGGGCTGCTGCTGAGGTAGGTTTTATTTCAGCTGGGCACCAATAGGCTGTGTGACCTCGGAGTGATTATGTCCCTCTCTAAGCCTATCCTGGTAGGCAAATTCTTCCCTTGTTAGAGCCAAGCCCCGCTCACATCTGAGAGAGGCTAGCAGGGCCAGCAGGTCTCAGACTGACCACACTAGCCAGTCACATCTTTCCACATGCTACCCATAACTCCTCATCCACTCTGTAGCCTCTTCCTGCCATTTCCTGTTAACACTCCTCGGAACTTAGTATCCATCACCTCCTCCAGGAAGTCTTCCTGGCCTCAGGAATGGCCAAGGCGGCTTTCACTTTCTCCTGTGAATCCAATGCACAGGCTGATGAGGCCTCATTGTGGGGCAAGGTTCAGCTTACCTGTCTACCCCCTCCCCACAGAGGTGAAAGCCCCCACTCCTGCTCTCCATGGGCAGAGCACAGCCTGCTACAAAGCCAATGCATAGCGTGCCCCTGAGCCTCCTCAGAGTGTCCCCTGGGTGGGAGGTGCCTCCTCTGTATGTGAGGACAGCCAGAAAAAACAAATCCCGGGGCTACTATAACCTTTTTAAAGTTTCCCAGCTAGAATATTCTATAAATTGCTTTCTAAGATTATGCCAGAGTGGAAAGCCGCCCACAGGAGAGGAAGCTGGTGGAGAAGAAAGAGCACCAGGAATAGGAGGCCTGGTTGCCCCTGCCACGGTGGCTGTGTGATCTTCGGTGAGCGACTTTGCATCTCTTGGAAGAGTTAGTCATGCTTGGTGTATCTGAGTAAGAGGGCCCAGCAACCCTCTGCCCCAAGTGAGCACAGCCCTGGGCCTTGGGTGAGTTCAAAATTTGCTGAGAGATTCTACATGTGGCCACAGTAATGATTTCTCTTGTGCACACATGTCATGGTGTAAGTGTCATCATTTCCCCTGAGCAACAATTTGGTTGACATGTCTGTGAGGCAATGATGGACAGGCCACCAGGCACCCGACTGAGATCAGAGTGGGCAGCCCGGTACTTCCTGCCCAGTTTCTGGAGTTCACGGAGCATATGTCTAAGGTGGCTGGTCAGTGTGATAGGAGCCTTGTCAGACTCTCCAGGCCATAGAAGCTTAAGGTTGCTAAGGGATGGGACACAGCAGGAGATTCCAAACTGTTCTGGAAACAGCTTCAGGGTCATGAGAGCAGTGAGTGGTGGCCCTTATATTCGGCCTCCCTCCTGTTTCAATGCCAACATCTTGGTCTTCTGGGCCTAATGGACCAGTCTCTTAGGTGGCAATGTCCATTGGCTGCTGCTTTTAGAAATTTTGTCCAGTCTCTCTATCCTACTGATAAAGAAACCAAGGGACACCATCTTATGATGATCTCCTGACTTGCATGTGTCCGTGCGTACGTGCGTGTGTGCGTGCGTGTGTACGTGTGTGTGTAGGAGTCTGGTGTCTGCTGTGGTTGGGAGGAAACTACTCTTCTGGGGAAGAAGGGCTGATTTGGGCCCTTTCTCAAGGCTGCCTGGAGGACTGGGCAGATTAATATCCATCTCTGGCCAGTAGAGGGCACTCTAACCGAGGCTTGGCCATTACCAGCCTCTGCTCAGGGAGCAACTTGGGCAAGGGGTGAGATGCAGAGTCATAGTATGAGGAGGTGTCATTGCCTGCCCAGTGGCCTGGCCCTTTGACCTTAGACTTACATAGCAGCACTGATCTGCTCTGACTTTGTACTCTAAGCATTTGCAGCCCTATGCTTGGCCTTCAGACTTATTATCTTTGGCTACAATTTCTGCAGACGAAGGTCAGGAAGAAGTGGACAGAGGTGGACCAGGCCTGGTTAGTGTCCTACTAGGGAAGTCCCCTAAAAATCTGTGTGATGGGTCTCAGGAAACCCCAAGAGTCAGAACCTGGAGTGATGTGTTACCCTGCCCGGTCCCAGCAGCAACTCCTCTGGGTTCACTACAAGGGAAATGTGAGAAGGGCTATGTAACACCCCTGGGCTCCCTAGTCAAGCAGAAGGAGACCAAGGAGCCATTGGGGAATTTTGGGGAGATGATGGACCTGTGTAGAAATAAAAGCTATGAGCATCTTTTATGGGTTAACTGCATCTGCTTGACAACGAGGCCCATGATTTGCACTCATGATCGTCGACCAGAGGAGGCAGAGGACCACTGAGGCTCAGAGATGAAATAACTGGCCCTGGGTCACATGGTCCAGCTCATCGGCACCAGAATCAAGAAGGCTCTCCCTAAGAGGCTGGGGACTTTCCTTCCAGCATGTGAGGCTGCAGCTGGCAGCCTCCAGTCCCCCTGGGAGGGGAGTGGCATATGGTCCGGAGACATTGCCACACTGCAGTCTCCTCAAGCCAGGTGACGTTAGCATCCCATGCATTTCCTTCCCACAGGCCTCCATGTGGGGTAATGCACTAGAGAAAGCCAAGGGCCAAGCCAGGAGCTGTGCTGCAGATTTAGGTGGACGACCTGTGTGTAGTCTTTTTGGGTCTCGGTTCTCAGATCCGGGAAGGGAGGAGAATGCTCTATGACCCTGATGTGGGTCTTGGATGAGGATCCATTGGAACTAAGCATCTGAGAATCAGATGAAGCTGGCTCGCACCTACCCACAGAGACATGTGTGTGCACCAGGCACCCTATGTGGAGCATGCTCTGCTGCGCATCCTGGCCTCTTATGTAGGCAATGTGAGAATGAGGGAACGAGCCTCATTTTGCAGATGAAGTTGAAGGACAAGGAGGGTAAGCAGTGGCTCACGGTCACATGGAGCCAGAGCCAGACTGGGACCCCAGTGTCTGGCTATTCAGTTCCTTGGGGTGCCACTTTACAGCAGTGGGGTGGGAGATGCAGAGCAGGGCAGCAGGAAGCCTAGGTCCTTCTAGAAGGGCAGCCACCATGCAGCTCCCACCGTTGGAAGGAAACAGGCGTCTCCACGAGGGAGGAATACCTCCTGTGCCTGCCCAGCCCCTGAGCATTCCCTCCTGACTCCTCTCCTAAGGTCCCTTGGTTGGAGCAAATACTGGGACTGATGCTCACTTCTTGGATGGAGGCTGGAGGAGGGGTGTGTAGGGAGAGGCACTGAGAGCAGAGTGTAGCTCCATTCTCAGGGAGATGGGCATATCTTCCTGGAAGCATACATGTACACACATGGGATGATGTCAGCTACATGCATGCATATTTACACAGGCAACTTAAACACACGCATGTGCACACACTCTGTATCACATACACACAGACACATGCAGCCAGTCAGAGATGTTCACAAACCCAGAAGACTGTGCTTGCACACAGGGAACATGCCACATACCTGATCCCACACTCGGGTGGAGTTGTTCAAGGCTCTACGAGGACTGAGACCAACAATGTGGTTCATCCTTGCTTGCAAAGGGAAAGGGGAGGCAAGGGTTGGGCGGGGCCAGGCATGCGTGTGCATAGCATCAGCTACTTTCCTCAAGACAGGTGTCTGAGGCCAGGCGGTGGTGGCGCATGCCTTCAATCCCAGCA